CAACTCCCAGAATTCCCCAGCCAGCAAGGCTGGCTGGGGAATTCTGGGAGTTGAAGTCCACACATTTTAAAGTGACCAAGGTTGAGAAGCACTGCCCTAAGGCATTGCCAAGGACCTAGCCAAAAAGGATACTCTGCTAGGTTGGTAATTAATCTTGAGCATGTTGCTGCTTCAAGCCTTGAGACCCTGAAAATTATTCTTCTACTCGCTTTATTCTCCTCCCCCCCCCCCAAAGGATGGTAAAAAAGGATGCGATTCTTTTTGTCTGTCACCGTGATATTTCTCCAAACGTGGAACAGAACGGGACCAAATTTGGTGTGGTGAAAAAAGTCAGCTAACGAGCCATCAGATTCCAAATCGACTGGATCCGGCCAAGGGCTGCAGAGAGAAACAGTCCAGAACAAATTCTTCATTGCATTCATATAGTGGAGGCAGTTGGGCAGCGGCTTCGAATGCTGTTGGCTGGTCCAGTCTTTGCAAGCTGTGATTTGCTTGGCCCTGTTTAATAATTAAACCAGCTGTTGGTTGGGTTTGCCCAGCACCCTGAACCTAAGCCGAACAAGCATATTTTGCCTGGAAAGGCTGTGAATTCTGCCATTTTTAGTCTTGTTCAATTTGGAGTATCTCAGATCATTAGGAATTGATTGTGGCATAAACCAGGGTTTACCAACCTGGTGCCCTCCAGCTTTGTTGTGACTGCACCTTCCAGAATTCCCCAGCCAATCTAATCCTACCTGGGAATGATGGAATTATAATTCAACCCATCTGGAGGGGGCCAGGCCGGGGAATGCTGGTTTATGCCACAGTACCTTCCTAATTCTTGAAGATGTCTGTCTTGGGAAATATGAATTAGTATTGGCAAGGCTAGGTCCTCACTTGATCATGAATTGGTTTGAAACTGTGGCCCCATAAGTTCAGAACTTGGGTATATTTTGATCAAGCAAAGGCTTAAATTCTGCTTTGGCTTAAATTCTGCTTTGTTGTCAGATCCCGGTTCTGTTGCTGGCAGGAAAAATGAAGCATCGGGTGCGTTTCACACACAGTGCAAATTCTGCCTCTTATTGTGACTTGCTCTTTGCGCGAACTTTAAGGTACCCTGGAAATTCTCATTCTTTACTTCTATTCGTTTTAGGGTTTGTGTTGCTAAGTTCTAGTGTAGAAAAACGTTATCATTCTTGGTCCTTTCTTCTGAAGCTTGCTTTGCTTAAAACAATTGCAATGTGGGGTTTTTTTCCCCCCCTTTCCCAGGATGTAAAATCACTGCAGCCAAATAAACCACATGCAGAAACTGCATCTCCCTTGCAGATAAAGAGAAATATGGCAAATATATCCTCAAGTTAAACTTGTGGGTGGACGTGAAGAAATTAACCTCAGAATAACTCCCATATATCTCAGTTCTTCCAGAGGCATTAGCTCCTTGTTCTCTTGTTCTGCACATCCAACATCCAGAATCTGAATGACCAATTATTTTCAATCAAAGATAGGCAATCTTTAACAGTATGGGAAAGAGGGTCTGGCAGACACACAGGCACTTGTAGATGCTGACCCCTGTCTTGGTCTGACAGTAAAGGGAGTCAGGTAAAAGCTGAATATTATGCTGAGTGGTGTTGTTTTGTTATGCAAAGCTGAGCTCCCTCATTAAGTTTTAATGGCCAGGCCATTGATGGAAGTAATGGATGCACTGATGGAGAAAATGAACAGTTTGTGTTCTTAGCACATGGAAAGCAATGGACAGGCACCTGCATTGAGTTGAAATTGGGTCACCCGTTGCAAGCCTGAAATCTGTCTGCAAGGACCAAGCTTAAAAGACCCAAAATCTAGATTTTTTGTATAACATGGATGATCTGCTTTTCATGCGAGTTTAGCATCAGTCAGTTTTATTTGATTTCATATAACTAAAGGCAAAATTTCAGAGCAGTCCAGAAACAGACATGAGACATCCAATTGCTGTTAGAAATCTGAAAAGCGCATGCTATCTGTATGTGAAGGCGTCAAAAAAAGTCAAGGCAGAGGCTATGACCACACAATCAAAGGCCACAGCTTTTTTTACATGCATTGTGCATGTGGCATAGATTAAAAAGGGGCCGGACTGTGATCCCGCAGATGCAGCCACCATCTTTCTTTTCCTGACCCCTCTGCAGACACCCTGAAGCCATCCAGTTGCTGAACCTGAAGTTCTAGACGCCTCTCCTCCAAAACGTGTAGATTATCTTCAGGGTCCCTATGACAGGGTTGGCAGGGGCTACATGGTTTCTCATGTTTTTTTTTTCCAAAATGGGGTTGGGGAGAGAGCTCATCTTGGCATATTGTTGGAGGAAGGCAGCTCAGATGGGAAGCTGGCCATTTGGGTTACCATGGCTGCAGAGAGATATTTATTTTTGCCTGTTCTGCAAGTCAGCATGGAGTAAACATATGCAAATGAGCGCCTGCCACTTGACTGTGAGTAGGAAGTAATTAAAAGGAGCCAGGAAATTCCATAACCCCTTCGGTATCCTGAGATCTTCAGGGAGCCCACCAGGCCCTCTTTCCATTAACTCAGCACTGTGTTGCCACAGCTGTCAGGACAATGTGCAGCCAGAGTCCCTCAAGTTGGATGAGCAATGACTGGGGGAGCCACAGGAGATGAAGACAGAGGCTTCAATCTTAAAAGCCAGACCCCATGTCCACCCTGCCCTCTGTAACAGCTACTGGACACAAGTAGCCAACCAGAGCAAGATAAAGAATGGAAATCATGGATTCCATCAGAACAGAAGTGGTCAGACTCTACCACTGTAAGGCAACACGGGCAGATCTCTGATTGTATGGTTCCAAGATCTTCCAGGTAAGCAAGAGAACTGAACATATCCCAAAATCGTGAGTGATTTATTGAGATAAGGGGGATGAGGCTACCAAAATTGCAGCCACTGAACTATTTCAAATTTAGGACTAATATATTTCTACTGACGTTCTGATCTTCTAACTGCTGCCTTGTGAACTGGCCTTGCTCGAACTTCCCTGATCTTCCCTATGCCAGATTTCTGTTTTTGAGATACAGCAGATGTGGATTGGGAAGGTCCAGATTCAAATCCCCACTAGGTTGTGATGCCTAGGGCCATCATATCTGCACCACAGAAAACACTGAACTCTTTGCTGACCTTTTTGTGGTCACCCATATTTTTGCAGTTGAGATACAGTAGCCCTCACTGAGTGGTAAATATTTGCTATCTCTCTTTCCTTCTCCATCTCTCTCTCTCAGCCCAATCTATTTCACAGGATTGTTCTTGTTATTATTGTTATAATATTGCAGGAGGAATACACTAGGTTTCTTGAGGGAAAGCAAAGGAATATAAACAGTAGAGCCTTAGTGTTGGAACTCCCTTTCATGAGAAACATGTCCCATTGATGGTTCACAAGCAAAAAAACCTGCCATTTCCATCAGTTTTGGAGGATTGTTGGCCATGGCTAGGATCACAGAACACCCAAATCAACTAAACAGAGTTTCTGTATTCATTTCGCATACTGTATTATGCCCCTAGCAATCACATTACAACTTTGGGTGATGGCCTGGCTCACATATGTTAAGGCTGACCTTCCTAAAATGTGCTGAACCAATTATCCAACCACATTTAAGACTGATCTAGAGTGTTGTGCAAAATAACCCATGAGTTGTTCCCTGGCCTTATGAGTTTGGGTCAATGTAGTTATTCTTAGATCCCAATGAAAATCAATGTGAAAAATCACATTTTGAGTCAAATGAATGCCACTGATAGCCGCACACAGCATTATTAGCTCTCTG